TCTTTCCCCCCCCGAACCCCTTCCCCCCCCACCGCCAAAAAAATTCCCAGAAGCCCCGGGTTAGCACAACCGGTTATTGAAAAAAAAAGGTTTTTTTCCTCCCCACCAACAACACCAATGGAATTCCCCTCCACCCCAAACAACAACCCCAGGCCATTCTCCCAAAGAAACCACCCCAAACCCAAAACCAAACTGCCTCCCCAAACCCCTTCGGAGGACCGTTTGCAGGTGAATTGTTTTTGAGAGGGGGGGGTGGGGGGGGGGGGCTACTTCACAGCACAGGGAATGATAACAGCAGCGGCAACAAATATTCCGATGCATGCTGTAAGCCGCCACAGCTCTCGGTAAATACTCCACTCTCAGTGCATGTGGCTGTTGGTACTGCTTTGTAGCAGTCATCATGGGCGATGTCCTCCTGACAGCAGCAAGAACCGAGCTGCGTGTACTACAGTAGGACACCTTCCCTTTCTCAACGTACCACAACCGCTGTTTTGTGTGCTACGTGCCACGAGGGCGAACTGATGCGCGCGATTCTACCAGTAGTCAGCTAGACCGGGTGCACACTTGTAGTCTACGGGTGCGGTACCCGTACTACCTGGAGGCTGGCATGCAAACCTGGATACCACGTAGAACCACCAGCACCTACCCTACCACAACCCCATCAACTGGGTACTCTTCCCCAACCACAATACCCGGAACGTCATATCATGCTCTTATTATCAGCCCACCTTTGAGGTCCGTGCGCTCGAACATGTTTTCATTTCTTGTTTGTTTTCTCCTGCGCTACGTGCAGATGCGGCTGTCGTACGGCGCCAGCGAGAGTTGTTACGCCCTGCGCAGCGCCCTCCGTAGGAACAAGGGTCAGGAGCAAGACCACCAGGCGGTGGTCGTGGCGGACATGAAGCGCCGCTCCCCTACGTCTGCGGAGCTCCCACCCGATGTGAACGCCTTCGACGACCCCGCTGCCTGGGCGTCTCAGGTATACATTCCTCGCAGACATGTAGCATGTAGCGCTGGGACCCCGCCGGGGATATGGACATAGATAACGGCGGGACCCCCCCGCCCCTACACCCAGCATGACGGAGTAGTCCATTCCGCAGCACGTGCGATATCTGTACGCAAGCAGAACAAGAATGTGACGTCGTTGGTACAAGACTGGCCCAAAAGCAGTTATTTTCCGGTGATACACAGCACCACAAATTGTTTTCGTTGCTGCAGTACGTGGGAGCTAAGACTTGCTGACGACACTCCCTTATGTCCTCAAGCAGTTTGTGACCGGGTATGTTTAGAACCCCACCTGAAAAACGGGGGTGAAAAGGGAATGAATAATTAATTCCCCCTGCCCGAGTACGGCCGGAGTACGGCCGGAGTTGTCGCCGAATTCTTCCCACAAATCCCTCGAGCGGGTCTAAGCTTTTCTTCTCGACGACTTGTCTTGTGCTGTTACTTGCCGTCTTCCTCCACGAATGCGTACTTGTGGTACGAGCCATTTTATTCACGACTCGGTTGGTGTACTTCTACAGGCCAGTACTACAGAAGGAGGCACGTTCCACTCAGAGTTAAGAAGGATCTTTTCGTAAACGACGTACGCGCACACACGCAAAGGATGGAGTATCGTTGGATACGAGAATCGAAACCGCGGCGTCCAATCCCTCATCCCTCGGGACGCGATACACTCCACTTTCGGTTGGTGGGCGCGTTGCGTTTTTCCATATTAGACTAGACCTGTTTTTTGACCGCAAAGTGCATGGGAACGCGATAACACACCCGACATCAGTTGGACCCTTTCTTTGTGCCAGTGTTGTCATGACAAGCCACCGGCTATCCGGCTGCCAGCGTGAGGCCTCCCCTTCCGGCACGCAGCCGATGCTCCCTCCCGGATTGATCCCCTCGCATATGTCGCCGCTTCGTGATTACCCCTGTACTCTTTTGAAAACGCTCCCGCCTCTTGCCCCCTCCCACCCCCAAACGCGCGCGCGTGTGTTTCTGCTTTGAACCCGCCCCTTCGCGAACAATCTGCCTTGGTTGGGGCGGCGGCGGCGCCGAACGGTTATTGGCACCCGGCGCCCATACGCTTCCCTCGTGGCGCGACACGACCTGGGGGGATCGATCACCCCAACATATCGATGAAAAAATCGAATCGAATGCAACGATCGGGTCTCCTCCAGCTGCACACGGCCGGCGCCAGCGTGCTCATGGTGAACACGGACGGGCCGGCGTGGGGCGGCAGCCTCTCCGATCTCGACAAGGTCGTGGTGAGTCCGCGCCTGTCCACACGATGAACGCACGCACAGGGAGAACCTAGCGGTGAGGCTGCGTCACATGAAAGAAGTGCGTGATTTTTTTTTTTTGCAATTTGCGTGGAAACGAGTGGAGTGTGCGTGCGCGTGTGTAGCTCTCGACAGAACAGACAATGTTCTCTCGACAAAGCGTTTGAGTGATATCAACCACACGTAGTACGAGGCGATGCTCTATCCCTCTCAATTGAGATGTGCAATCAGTGACCTCAAGTGATGTGGTTGGTGCAGCACAGCAAGTAACGATTTTGTACGCACACCCATCCACCCGCCCCCTTCCACCCCACACCTATCTTGCTATCCTTCCCTCCAGCTGCCGCGCCCGGACGGACCTCCGCCAATTGGTCGACCGTCACCCCCCCTACGCGTGCTTACTCGCTGCCGCCCCCCCTCACCCCGTCGACGACGCAGGCGCATTTCAAGAAGCTCGGCAAGACGCCCCCGCCCATCGTAGCGAAGGACGTTATCGTGCACCCGATGCAGATGGCGCAGGCGCTGGAGAAAGGGGCCGCGGGCACGGTGCTCATCGCTTGTGTGGTGAGAAAGACCGGAGGGCGGAGATGAAGAGAGAGGATGGGGAGATAAAAGATAGATAGATAGATAGAGAGAGAGAGAGAGAGAGAGAGAGAGAGAGAGAGAGAGAGAGAGAGAGAGAGAGATAAGTGGGAGGTGGGCGTAGAGACGGACAGACATATCTCATATATCTCAACGTTTTCATCTTTTTGTAGTCATGGACAGCTCGGGCACGTACGGGCTTGCATCTACACACTGGAACAAGGAAGCGTGGTGATTTGCGCAATCTCCCCCTCCAGCGCGCTCACCAAGCACTCCCGGGGCTCCGCAGCTCCTACACGATGACAACCTGTCTCCATGTTGTCCCTGTTATGCGTGAAATGTTCACACCGCAGCTCGGGCCGGCCCTGTGCGACTTCATGGACGCGGCGACGATGATGGGAACCGAGTGCATCGTTGAGGTGCACACCCCGGCGGTGAGTTAGATAGCTCCCCCCGCCGTCGGGCCCTCCCAAATAGTGCACGGAAACGACTGTTGCCCGGGAACTGCTCTCGTGTCCCGAAAGGTTGAATCCTCGGGCTTCTTTGTTGAACACGACCCCAGACCTTTTTTCGCACACCGTGTGGTTGGCTGGCGGTGTGTGGCGCTCAATATTGGGTCAGGTATATGTGAAACATGGCCCGGGGCACCTGCCGCGCCCAATCGCGGGGCGCATGAAGTGAGGTTCAAAGCAAGCACGCCAATTTTACAACATGCACTTCTATAAGCATTGTCTCCGTGAAGCTTGCCAGGGACAGTCATTGTGTTGGTTTCACTTGCCAAATTCATAACTAACAAGTGTGGATGGAGCTCTCAGGGAGGCATCACACATGCGTGCTAGTAAACACTTTGTAGATACACATCTCGTGAAACTCTAAGTTTCTTGGCCCAAGCTCTAGGCTGCTTGTGGCTTAGGCGTGCGCGTGTGTACTGGCGGTGACGTGGCCTCGTGTGAACAGCCGCGACCGCGAACGTGTGCACCTCTTTTTTTTTTTCCTGGGCAGGCCGAACTCGATTTTTTTAGTAGTTTCTCTGATGTTGATCCTGTCAGTTGATGTTGTCGTCGTCGCCGTCGTTGTTTTCGTTGTTGTTGTTGTTGTTGTTGTTGTTGTTGTTGTTGTTGCCTCTGGTTACTACTGACACTGATGTTTCGTGAAGTGCGCCAGATTGAGCGCAAACCCTAGCGTGTGCTTTAAGCATTCCCTCCCCCCTTCGATGTTTGCCATCGGGGTTGGGTTTTCGTCCCTTGGCAACGACGTTGTAAAACAAGCCGCCCCCCCCGGGGTTTGCCATCGGGGTTGGGTTTTCGTCGCTTGGCAGAGATGTTGTAAAACAAGCCGATTCGTATGAGTACACCCCCCCCCCCGGGGTTTGCCATCGGGGTTGGGTTTTCGTCGCTTGGCAGAGATGTTGTAAAACAAGCCGATTCACTTCGTGAGCTCGGCAACCAGGTTACCACTTTTCTTTTTTGCGGTAACCATGAATGGTGGTCCAGTAGATTATTTTGTGCGGGATCGAGAACCCTCACTCCGCGCAAAGGGGATAATCGCACCACGTTGTGTTATATTGGTTAAACACCCTCGAGGCAGTTACTCAGAGCTTACAACTGTCTCTGGAAGTGAAAACACCAGAAAATACATTTAAGTCATATGCAGCTGTCATCCGTACGCAAGGAAGTAAGCACAAGATGCCGAACACCCTTACCAGGATGCAGCGCACCCTTCATGCGACTCGCCGAATACCTCACGGCGCTTCGCGCTTGGTGATGTGAGAGCCTGGTCCGGTGAGAACCCGGCGTGCTCCGTCCCGGCTTTGTAGGGATGCGAGGTCATGATCTAACGACTACGGCATGCACCCCCCCCTCGATTTTCACTGCGGAGGTCGGTCGTGGAATGATTTCCCTTCCAAAGGAGCCAAGGGTGCGACGTAGACTCGGGTGTGAGAGCAACAACGTATCGTGGTTTCACGCACGCGCGTAGTCGTGTCTCTTTCTTTTTGCGGTGAGGTAAATTTCGCTTTCATCATCAACGGGCACGGTCGGCCGTCGCTCGCCCTTTCGTTGTCGTCGTCGGCTCTCTGTCGTGCTTCTATCTAAACGACGGCTTGGGTGTGCGCGTGTGTGAATGTTGACGTTCTTCGTCACCGGCTTGGTGTTTTCGTCTGCTGTCGCTCGTGTGTGCGCGCAGGAGGTGGAAAAGGCCCTCGAGCACGGCGCGAGCGTCATCATGGTCAACAACTGGGACCGCATCACGGGCAAGCTGTACCCGAAGCAGGCGAAGGCCGTCCGCCACTTGATACCGGACCAGGTGAGAATTTGCGCATCACACATTGGATCAAAAGTAGCCGGGGTTGTTGTGCTGCTGCCGTTGCGCGGGTAGAAAGCTGTCACCGTACCGAAGAGCGGGGACTACCGGCGTAGGCCTCGCGCGTCTTCGCTACAACAGGAGAGATTGCTTTGGTGGTTTCGGTGGTCGACGCATCGGTTTTTTGGAGTTTTTTGGCGCGTTCGGGATCTTTTCGCTCACGTTGTCGGTACTCGAAGCTTTCGCCGGTAAGTACATGTTTCTCAGCTGGCCTCTTCTTTCTTGCTCTTGTGGCAGTCATGCACCCCTCTCCCACTTCCCCGCTGCCCTTGCCGCGAACACGTACTTAGTGCCAAGCGTGGCGGACGAGGGCAGCGAGCGCTCTCAGCGCCAATCTGTTCGAAAGAAGCGGACGATGCGGTTCGTAATACAACCCGGTGCGGCCTTTTTTTGTCGAAATTGGTTGTTGGGTTCGAAACGATAAAAAAGAAACTGAGGCGGAAGAGCGCGCGCCCCCCCCCCCCCCCTACCCGCTACCGCTGCTCTCCTTTCGCCTGTGCTTCTTGTTCTTCTCGCATACCATGCAGGTTCTGACGATCGCATCGGGAGGTATCGACAGCGTGGAGCAGGCGGGGAGGCTAACCGACGAAGGGTACGATGCTGTCGTTCTGGGCAGGAGCTTGGTTTCAGGGGCTTCGGGACCGGAGCTGATCCGCGGGATCGTTGACAGGGTCGGGGTGCCCCGCAGCATGCTCGGGTGGGGGGTGAAGGCAGAAGACTTGGACTACGACCGAAGGAAGAGATGAAAGGGGGGTGGGAGCGATGGTGGTGGTGTGGATACCCACGGCGGTGTCGTGGAAAAATGGCGTATTTGAAGAAATGGCTGTCTCATGTGTCTGGAAAATGTGATGTTGGTGTTATTTGCCTTGGTCCAATGTAGGGATGAGGTTGGCGGCGATGGCAGGGCGGGTGGCGATGTTGGTCGTAGTTTTACCCGCTGGGCATTCAGTTGTGGGTGTGATTAAGCGTGGTGCTGGTGTCACGGCGGCTCAACGCGGCGTTGATGAGATGATGTCTCAAGGAGAATTGGTGGTGATGATGTCCAAACGTTCACCTTGTCCCCTGTGAAACCGAGTAGTGATGCGGAGATAGATGCTGACACAGCTGTCCCGTGACAAGTTAATGTTGGTGTTGCGGTGGGGCATCTATATTGGTGTTTCCTGCCCTTGCCTGGCGAGACGGGGCCAAAATGTTGTTGTTTTCATTCGTGGGATGTCGTGCTGCTACAGCAGTTACGTGGTGGTCGTCTGCCACCGCCAGCACACAAGATGTGATAAGTGCGAGGACTGATTCTGTGGAGAGTGAATATTGTCTCGTCCGTATCTTTCCTTTTGCATCTTTTGCATCTACAATATGTATACGTACTAAATAGACTCTGAATAGGTGACGCTGTTTTCCAGTAGGCGGGTAAGTGCCGCAAGATCGTAGCAGCTCGGCGCTCACGGTAGTATGCACATACATGTTCGACGAAGAGGGGGCGCCAGATGCGAACGCTCAACAATTTCCGTTGTCGCTCGACCTTCTGAAACTCGATGCAACTCCTCTCTAGACCTGCGGTAACATCCTCTCCTCCGTCCGCGTTTAATCTCACAACCTCACCCGTGCTTGGGAGTGCTGTACTCCGGAGCTCCGGAGTAGGAGTGCTGGTATGTATGCATATCTACGTGCTAGGGCTGTTGTTGCGGCTTGTCACAATGGCGCATTATTCCGAGTGGACATACAATACATGTACAGAGCTGGAATCCGTGGAGTGGGTTTGATTTACGTAGCGGGGAAACTACATATCCACAACTCCATCCAAGCAGGGGCATAATCATAGGCGAGTCAAGGAAGTGACAAGAACACATGAGATACGATGCTGCGATCGTCAACGAACTGGTACCGCGCAGTCCTCCAGCGGTCGTGCGGGGAGACGTGAGGGGAGAGAGACGTGAGAGGACACTGCAATGGTCTGCAGACAAGTGTTGGGACGTTGGGACAACTGGTATGCAGGTGGCGAGGACACCAGTGCGTAGCTGTCCGCAGGTAAAACCTTCTGATCCAAGAAATATCGCTGTGCATCATCCAGTACGCTGAGTAAACCGCGTCTATAGGAGACAGCCTTGGCCAACGGGAGAAGTGGAGTACTGTAGCCCCCGGCGACCAGGTTGAGAGAAAACAGCAGGGGAGGCGGAACCACAATTTAACTTCTGTCAAAAAGTGGGACACATCTGGCGTGATGCGATGGATCCATCGTTGCTGCCGGTCCAGACTACAGCACAGCACCTCTCCAGCTACATAGAACCTCATGTAATGTTCGCCGACACCTCTTATGTCATTGGTGTAGAGAGCAGCCCTATTAGCAACCCTATTAGCACACCGTCCGCCCAATGCCGCTTGTCAATACGCACTGGTACTGACAGAGGGTTTGCCAACAGCTATCATCACCACAAAAAAGTTCCTCTCAAGGAACGTAAATAATTCTGTTCTGATTACATAACGAAGTACTCCAAAATTTCTGCCGAAAAACGGTTCGTGCACAGCACCAGTGAAAAGTCTGTGTTTTCTATCTGACGGATCTGCAGTACTTCTGGGCACTGAACGAGCAGCGCGTTCGTGTGAAGAGAGGACTGCCGTATTTCGTGCATCTTTACGTTTGGACGTAGACTACGGTGTACCGCAACAACAGCAGGCGTACCAAGCTTGGGCGAACGAAAAAAAACTCTTCCTGGACGCAGTCCGCCAACGGCAAACGGCCCTCTTGTTGGATCTTAGCTCAAGATCAAGAATTACGGTCGTGTTCCACCAGCCGCTTGCTGCTGACCCATCAAGGTCCACCACACACACTTCACTTGCTTCCCCCGCCGCCTCTCACACTATCCTCTCATCCTCTCACCCTGTCATCATTTCTTCAGTGCGCAGGATTGCTGTGTCTGCGGGATAAATCGGTGAGCATATTCTCAACGGTGGTGCTTGTTGTCATTGGTGAGAGTCGTCGTGCACGTCCACCGTGTGCAATTTGCTTCGCAACGGAAACGCCTCTAATAGTTCATCCAGCATTTATTTCGTTGGACCTCAAAACATTAGGGAGGGTTGCTTATGCCTGGCGCCAGGCCATATAAGGAAGAATTGTGCTTGCTTATGGTGGAGTGTAGCCTTGCGGTTGTTTGCCATACCAACAACCAGCACGTACAATGCCTACTGCTGTAGACCGCAGGGATTTCTCTGCTGTTTGGCATACAGTCTACTGCTGTCGGAATTTTCTGCTCACAAAATCTGTTGATCGGAGTACGTTTCGTTGGAGGTGCCAGCAGCTGCCGTGCTCGTCGTACGAAACGGGACACACCCAACCTGTGTAGTATCTGGACAAAACTGAAGGTGTGTCTTTGAGCACTAATCGAAGCGGTGTATGTGTTTGAGCGTTCGGGCACGAATGAAATAATGGGCCCCAACGAGCTTCTTACACATTACCTTTACGATTTCGGATCGTTTTTAAAAATGATTTCAGTGCGTCCACGTCGTGTGATTTGTCAAATCAATTTCTAGCGTACAATGTACAACGGAAAAATGAAAGTAGAATCTCGTTGCCTACGATATGTCGGAGAGCGCCCAAGAACGATGGAAGCTTGGTCGCCGCGCACGGAGACTCTTGTGCGGTTTCACCAAACATATCTTGTGCACATACGAGCGTTTTCTTAGACTCCGGTTGCACGTCGACGCTTTTTCAATGCGCGCCGTCGAGGGCTGCATTCGCGCTCGTCTTCGGTTTCAAGGGCAGTTGTCCAATGACGAGCAGGAAGGCTTGCCCAGACCGTTGAATGCACCTTATTTAACGACAGCTGTTCTCCTCTGCCCCCCCCTTCCGCCCGACCGGACAGGAGAGCCAAGATGAACAAGTCATTCCTCTCGATGTGCGCCGGGCCGCTTCTGTTCGCCTTGGCCGTCAACGCTGCCGACTACAACGAGCCGGCCCCGACCCCATCCCCGACCTACTCGAGACCGGTCTCCAGGTACTCGGGCCCTACCCCAACATACTGGCCTGACTCCTCGGACTCCTCGGACTCCTCGGACGCCAACGCCGGTCCCAACGACGACTACACCTCGCCGGCCACGACCCCGTCCCCGACCACCGAGATCTACCCGGACTTGAATGAATCCTACGAGGCGGAGGTGACTCCGGAGCCGGTCATGGACACCCCAGCGCCATCACCCGACATGGAGACCACGTCAGGGCCTACGGAGTACTACGTCGAGACGACGGAGGATGGAGACATGGAGAAGGTGCCGACGTCGGACGGTGGGTCGAAGGAAGAGGAAAAAGAGGAAGAGGAACCGATCCCGATGGAGAACCCGGAGGATGGGATGTCCTGCTCCACATACGACGAGGATGTGAGTACCTGTAGACGCGGAGCATTGGCTTTCACCTGAAGACGCGGGGCACACGCTTACACCTGAAGTAAAATAATTTTTCTACTAAGTGGTATATTTTGCTGATGAACCAACATCGACCCGTTCCGGCTGGCTATGCTCACGCTGCCGACTCACTCTCAAGTGGTTTGGGTTTTGAAGACGTCAATACCCCAACCTTCTCGCTTCACAAGAGAATGGCCAAGCCCACGTTTTCGACAGCCTCCACCAACGATTCGAACCTTTCATTATTTTCCAAAACCTAAACCCTCAGGTGGATGTGGCCACTATCCTCCCCGAGACGTGCGAATGGAACACCTACATGTGCTGCTGGACCGGCCACGACGGGTCCAAGGGCATGTACGGCAACGCCGATGTCTGCCGCGTGCTGGACTACCCCGAGGAGGGCGACGTCCTCGAACTGCCCCGTGACGATGAAGGCCCCGTCTACTGGTGCGTTGGTACCTGAGTGCTAAGGCGATGTCTGTGGCTTACAGAAATCTTCCTTCAAGGCTAAGCCACATCGAAGTAGTATTTGGCTGTTGACAAGTACTGTATAATTTGTCTTGGCTGTTGACTGAAACGCGGAATCCTTGATTCGGTGCTGCAACATAGTTGTTCTGCTCTGCGCTGTGTTCCGGTGCTGCAACCCTGGGCGTGTGCTGGCAGCATTGCGTAGCCACCCTTGAATTTCACAGTCGTTTCCGAACAAGGGGGGGATAGGTGTAATAAGCTGACGATAGACAGCTAATCACTGCATGGCAACGGCGCCACCTCGCTCTCTTCCCCGACGTTGCTCCCGCCCCCCACCCCGCCCTCCCGTTGCGCATCGAATGGCATGTGCGCATGTACTTGTATCGGACGAACCACAGCCACGGCTTCGCCTGGGCAGACGACGCGGACATCGACAGCCACATCCTCCCCCTGTACCACTACGTGACGAACGTGAACCGCACCGACGACGGGGGGTACTACGGAAAGTGAGCTCAAAGCATAAGTTTTCGTTCTTCTCGCAGCGGAATGGACGCCAAACGAAACAACGCAACATCTGGTACATTCCGTAGTAGAATTGGTGGAGAAACCTGTGACCTCCTGACCGGCAAGACGATTGCTGTGCCAGCAGTGAGAACCTTGAGCTCGACGGGTTATTCACCAGCGCTTGTTGACTGGAAAAGGCAAATACGTTGTAGTACTCGACCCCCTTGTTTCACGGCTGCCTAACTTCTATATTTCTCTGACTGTGTTAAGTGCGGCGAAGCATTGCAAGGTCGACTTGCGCGTCTACTCGAGATTACCCGTCCCGTCCCAACGACCAACAACCCTCTTCATCCCCCACCTGTGCTGGCACTTGCAGCGTCGAGGGAGTGCCTTCGTGTGGATGTATCGAGGACATGCCGGTCGTGTCCGATGCGGCGTGCTCCAAGTGAGTTTGTTTTAACACTACTTGTACAGTAGTTCATTCGACGACTCCTGGATGGAACGTCGAACGACCCAATCTCACCCACTACTGACAGTTTTGTTAAACCGCGCATGGAACACGCATTGGTCTCCCATGGGCCGCCCATGGACACTTCCACCTAGAAATTTTCGCCACCAGCGCCAACCCTGTTCGTACGGTGTGGGCTTGGGGATAGGGTGACGGTTAGCGTTAGGGTTAGCCGCTATAGCGCCCTTTCCAAAGCAGACAAACTATTGTTTAGGAGTACGCTGGTTCGGTTGAAGGGCTCTCATTGGCCGCCATGGGCACGCTCATGATGGGCTGCATGTCCATGGGTGACCCACGGGCTGCCCACGGGCCTAAACGGGGCGCCCATAGGCGGCCCATGAAGGGCCCATGGGTGACCCATGGGAGTCTTATGGGTCGGTTGGGGAAGCTGTAGAATTGTGGGAGACCCGAACGACCCTACGCGTCGAGCATCAACGCCACCATGGTGCACGTGTAGTGTGCTTTCGAGTTTGGAGACGCTTCTTGTTGGCCTTGATTTTCGTATACGAACATGTGCTCGTGAAACAACCTCACAGGAAGGACCGTGCATGGGCCACTGTTGTTTATTGTTGTGCCCTTCGTGCGGGGGCAGCCGTTTTGAAGGTTGATAGTTCACAGGAGATAGTTGGTGTCATCAGTTTCGTTTCTCTCTCTAGAAAGCTTGGGCAAAACCTTTTTGTGTCACACTGCCATGTGAACGGATAGTCAAAGTCCCCCCCACCCTACGGGCTCCAATCCATATCCGACCCCCCCGAAAATCAGGTTCGGAGGCGAAGGGATCGAGCCTTGCTGGGACAACAGTCTTCGTTCCCAGTACAAGTACAAGCTGGACGAACCGAAGGGCGAGATGGAATACAACCTGGTCAGAGAGTGCGACAACGAGGATGTGCCCGACTACGACTTCCGCACCTGCAACCACAACACGTACATGTGCTGCTGGACGGAGAACGACGGCCAGGGGATGGCCGACAACACGGTGAGATGCGGTGTTGGCCCTGCCTCATGATTCAACCCACTGGATAGCGATGCGTCATGTCGAGACCGGTCCTTGTTTCTGTGTGAACAATTTCTATCGTCGCAAGCTCGGTGTGCTCGCGAAAGCACTTACACGGTTGCTGTCGCCGAGGCTCTTATCACGAAAAAACACCTGTATTGAATACCAAAAACTGCTATTCACGTGTTGAACATCGTCTGCGTCAGGTCACCGTTAACGACCCCCGACCTTCTGTGATTCTATGATTGAACCAACGATGTAGGATGTGTGCCGAGTGATCGACTACCCGTCGATGGGCGAGACCACCGAGTACCCTGGAGAGAGCGAGGGAGAGGTGCACTGCCACGGGTTTGTGTGGCCGGAGGACGCCACCGACAAGTACATCCACCTCCTGGCGCAGTTCGTGCAGCACTTCGACCACAGGGACAGGCGGGGCTACTTCGGAAAGTGAGCCTGGCTATTGTTGTGTGTCCTCGCGCTCTAAAAGGGGGGGAGGGGTATAGGGCAATCTGTTGTGCCCCACGGTACATTTCGCAACCTTTTGCTTTATCTTGGATGGCGCTCAAATGTTCCCTATCACTGGCATTAACACCCCTGCCCTCCCTGACGTCATTGATTCCCCCTGCCGTTCAGCATCGAGGGTGCCCCCATGTGTGGCTGCATCGAGGAAATGCCGCAGGTTTCCGAGGCCGACTGCACGACGTACGACAACGAGCCGGGCCGAGAGGGCAAGTTCACGGCGTGCACCAACAACGACCTTCGCACCCGTTACGAAGAGGAGTACCCCATGGGCGAGCTTGACAACCTGGTCGGCGAGTGCGACAACGCGGAGGCTTGATTGTAACCCCGGGATGGTCTTGGCCTGCTGTTTTTTAAACGATGACACAGAGGTTCCCTATACTGCTGTCGTACGGCGTCTAGATGACGGGGTGACTCCCAACTGCGGGAACCTCGCGGTACAGCTTTATATTTTTCATCCAGTCTGTTCCCCAGGTTGTAGATTCATTCGTTACACTGCTGTGTGCGTTTATAGTATGCTATCATATATATATTTTCAATTTTTCTTAATATGACACAACGAATCCATCTCTTTTTCGATGCCAAGTATTTTACGTGTACAGGCACGCTCGATATGTTGGTGGCCGAATCTGGACAGTTGGCAAGTTTATTTTGTTCGCATTGGGCGTTTGTCGAACCGTGTTGCGAATGCCGGGGTGGGGGCGGGGACCAGATTTTGAGATGCCAAGCTCTTCCTTAATTGCCCTCTCAATGATTGGAATTGGTTTCGAAGCTTTTGGGCGTCATTCCATTACGATGTGCGATGGGTGCTGGAAGCGACACGAACCCGTTCACCACTTTTGCTATAGTAATAGATTTATTTTTCATTTTGCTGCCTTCTTTCATTTACATATTTTTGTGTAGAATAGGGAGCAGCTGCTGTCTGCGAGATATTCTCTTGTTAATTTGCACTCTCGGGCCCTCTGTGGTCTATGTACGTTGGAATGGGATCCTTTGTGCATTTGAGTGAGAGCTATAGATAGTGCAGATATGGTGTAAATATCCGTCTGTTGTTCCTGAGCTGATGGGCTGCTACCATGGTTATTGCTTCGTTTCGGTTAGATGTGTTACTGCAGAGAGTGGATGATGTGGGGTGGCAGATTCTTCAGCAGTTTTTCTGTCCACATGTTTAAGTTACTGAATCGCCCAAGAACGTGTCACGTACGTACAGAGATTCGGCAGCGCCGGCTGCTAAATGCAGTACTACCATCGCAAGATTCACTTCGACTACAGCAGACCAAGCCGCCCGTCGGCTCTTCATCGATGTCTATTTCGTTGGGCAGGATTCGGTAGGACAGGACGAGCTGTCACGCCGTTGATTGTAACTATAACTGCGGGCATGCACACAGATCCAAATGCTCGACGCAGGTGCCGTCATGGTCGTTTGAAAATAGGCTGATTGTTTTGACGTATGTATCCAGCGGGGCATCATCGGTGATGCGTATTCGCGCGCATTTTAATTTCGTCATGTAAAAACATCAAGGCACCTCGACCAATCAATAAGAAAATCTAGGGATGAATGTAGGCATCTTTAATTTGGAAGTCTAGAAGGCCATGGACGCGTGCGTGCAGTCTGAAATCCACTGATGCATTCAAAATGAATGTGTTCGAGAGGCCATCGAAGCTTGTCATGTATTTGTGCTTGCTGCTGGCGAGTAAAATCTTCTGGTACACCAAGGTACACGGAGATGAGGTGCTGCTGTTGAAATAAGGTAGGCTCAGAGGCGCTTAGTATGTACGTTGTGCGGTCTTGAGCTTTCACAACTACAACAGCAGAAGGACTTTCAGAGAAGTAAATGCGATATATTTCCCCTATATAACTGGGCTGTGCTTATAGCTATATCTGTGCGCTGTAGGGGTTCATTTCAGATCCATTCGATGGTGTGGAGGATACTGCTGTCTGTGTTCGTCGTGATATGTTTCAACTGGGATTGGATGCATATCCGGCCATGGCCTGTGTACAAGACAAGAAAGACACTTCGCCATTGACAACAACCACCGCGCATACCAGAGCGGTGAGATGAAAGCACACACCGCACAGTCTGCATGCATGCAACAACGGCAGCACGACTAGTAGATGGCCTTCTCCTCCCTTAGAAACACTGTCATATTTGCACAGTATCCGAGTCCGGGTGTGTCCAGGAGACCACAGACATGCAGAGCAGACGATAGACCGAGGAGCGAGCCTCCCGGCGTTGAGTTAGAGAAACGGGTCGCCAAAGCAGCTCTCGGTCGAGAGGGGGCATGGCAAAAAAGGGCGGAACAATACAATATTCTTGCTGTCAAGACATACTGTAGGTGCACATGGATACAGATCGGTCTGCTTCTTGTGCATATCTACATGTACCTCCAGCTAAGCCTGTTCTTCGTTGCCGCAGCGTTGTCTGCAGCCGGCTTCAGCACGGCGTCCATTTTGCTGCTACCCGTGCTAACGGTGCTGTTTGCCAACAGCTCTCTCACATTTCTGTTCTGATACCCACCAAGAACAGGTACGCTATGGTTGTACAAGCACATCGCCCAAAGATGTCCCGTTGGGAAAGGCTTCTGTTCTGAAACTACAGCAGTCTTGTACATCCAATGCCATGTGCTTGTATCTGACGAGTCTGACGGGTGTACTACTGGGCACCGAGTGAGTAACAGTGCATTCTTGTGAAGAGAGCATTGGCGTCTTTGTGTGTATCTACTGTATCTGCTGTTGTGTTGGACAGCAGCCGTTGTGTAAGCTATGTACACGTATTTTATGTGCATGTGTTTTTTTTTGCGCCGAGAAAGGATTCAATCCGAATCTTCCTTTCTCATAGAGGGGCAACCGACCTTCGTTGGATCTTAGACCCAAGGGTAACGGTCGTGTTTCACGCCGCTTGCTTGAGACAATCAACTCGCACCCACACCCACCCACCCATCATTCACTTGCTCTCCTCTCATCCTCCCACCTTAGATACCATCACGTCTTCACGGCCATTGAGCAGTTTCTACAACAGTTTCGGGACGGCCGGAGAAATCGGTGAGCATGACCCGACGCGTTATTGTTACCGAGCGAGGTCGTGCCTCTCCGACATCTGTGCGAACGCACTATTGTTCTCACCGCCGTGTGTACCGCGAACGTTTACAATTCAATGCATTGCAGAGCGGCATCTCGACGGGTCTCGGTACATGACAGGATGGGTTTAGCTACTACTGCAACCCGCTCCAGGCATCAATGTAGAGATTGCCACTTTTTTGAGTATATACAAAATACAATGAAAAATTGTATGCATGTCATGATTACGTCCATCCGGCACCTGTGACAAACCCAACAGTTAATTGTACCGGGGAGACGGCCAAGGATTTTTCGATCTCTTTGTCCCTGTGATACCCCGTGATATGTTCTCTGTCATGGTCGAAACGTGTTTCGTTGGAGTGGAACTGAAAAGGTCGACCTGTCGGCCACTCTTCACGCCAAACACGCCCGCCACGAAAATCTGGCAGTGTTCGGGCAGCATTTTTTTTTGGAACGCCTGTGTTGCTTTGTATATCTGAAAGTACAGGCGATGTGTAATTTTGAGCACGAAAGGGTAGTAGACACAAGATATATGTACTCTAATACGGGCCAGCGCACCGGACTTTTGACGTGAAATTTTCTGATTTCGGATCGTTTTCATTAAATAGGGCGGATGAAGTTGTGCACCCCGTGACGGGTAGCGTAGACACTTTTGTATGGTACCATTTGTTCGCATGAACGCCGTATGTCCGAGAGCATGTGTGTGAACGATGGAATGTGGGCCGCCATGCACCGAGGCCCCCGCCTGTTAATTCACGTGCTCCCACGCGCACCTTCCCAGGCTACATCCGCGGCGCTTGTACTTATATTTGTGTTCCTACATAACGGCGACCACGAAAACGCAGGGACTCTTGCTGACACCGTTGCAAACAACTAATCATGAATTGTTTCAATCGTTCTTCTAATGATAAATAGTTCCTCTATCCCCTCCTCTGCCTCCACCCGACCAACACAGACATTCCAAGATGAACAAGTCGGTCCTCTCGATGTGTGCCGGGCCGCTTCTGCTCGCTCTGGCTGCCAAGGCCGGTCCCAATGACGACTACAACCCGCCTGCCACGACCCCGTCGCCGACCACCGAGATCTACCCCGACTTGGGCGAATACTACGAGGCTGAGGTGACCCCGGAGCCGGTCGTGGACACCCCAGCGCCCTCACCCGACATGGAGACCACGTCAGGGCCTACGGAGTACTACGTCGAGACGACGGAGGATGGAGACATGGAGAAGATGCCGATGTCGGACGGTGGGTCGGAGAAAGAGGAAGAGGAGGAAGAGGAACCGATCCCGATGGAGAACCCGGAGGACGGGATGTCCTGCTCCACATACGACGAGGATGTGAGACCCTTGTGGACACGGGGCAGCTCAAGCTTGCTTTCCTCACGCTGCGGACTCACTCTCACGCGCTTTTTCTAGTTTTGAAGACGTCAACACCCCAACCTTCTCGCTTCACATACGAATGACCACGCCCACGATTTCGACAGCCTCAACCAACGATTGGAACCTTTCCTTCTTTTTCAAAACCTAAACCCTCAGGTGGATGTGGCCAATATCCTCCCCGAGACTTGCGAATGGAACACCTACATGTGCTGCTGGACCGGCCACGACGGGTCCGGGGGCATGTACGGCAACACCGATGTCTGCCGCGTGCTGGACTACCCTGAGGAGGGCGACGTCCTCGAACTGCCCCGCGATGATGAAGGCCCCGTCTACTGGTGGGTTGGTGTCCCGAGATCATCTGAGATACCGTGATGTTGCTTAGTCGTTGTCCGTGCCCTGCAGCGCATTCGTTGAAGGCGTAGGAACATCGAACTATTTGGTCGTGACTGTTGACTAAGAAACGTAAGCTTGATCGGGGCTCAGGTATCTAATGGTGCCGACCGCAAGCCGACCACGACGTGGCAATGGCGGCACCTCATTAACGTCGTTCTTCCCGACCCTTCGCCCCCGCCCGCCAACCCTCTCGTGCGCATGTAATTGTATCCGATCAATCACAGCCACGGCTTTGCTTGGGCGGACGGCGCGGACATCGACAGCCACATCCTCCCGCTGTACCACTACGTGACGAACGTGAACCGCACCGACGAAGGGGGGTACTACGGAAAGTGAGCTCATAGCACTAGCATAGGTTTTCGCGTTCGTCTCGCAGCGGTAACGGTATGAACGCCACACAAAACAACGCATCATCTGGTACATACATTGGTATATTTGGCGGGAACACTTGTGGCCTACTAAGTGGGT